TACACCCCCCCCCTCTGTGTGTGTGTGTGTGTGTGTGTGTGTGTGTGTGTGTGTTGCCTGTCCTGGTTAAAAATGACATTGACCTGCCTTGTTAAAAGTCTATCAGCTGGGTGGAGGAAATGTCACCAGGTCTCGGAACAAGGTCACATTTTTCAAGTCCCTCCCGAGGAATCTGCACACTCCTCACCCTCCTCATCCCTCTTTCCCTTGTCCTCCTTTTCCTCCTCTTCCCACGGATCCCCTTTCCTTTCCTTGCTCCTGTTATCTCCCCTCTCCTCCATCAAGTTAATTCTCTTTTTCCTTCTTCTACTTATTTCTTTGCCCTTTCTTCACTTCAGTTTTTGTCCTCTCCTCTTTTGTTCCCACCTGACCCCCTTTTTCTTCTATCCCCCTCTTTATCTTTCATCCTTTCTTTTCCACACCTCCTCTTCTCTTCATTACCCTTTCATTTTCTCCTCTCTCCTCCTTTTAATTTCCCTTCGCCCCCTCTTGTGTGCTCTTCTTCACCTCCCACCCTACACAGTTCCTCTCTTCCTCCTGTTACTTTCTCCACTACACTTTTCTTCCTTTCCCTATTTGCATCCTCACCCCTTCTCCTCTTTCCCTTCCCATCTCTCTCTTTAGTCTCTCTTCTCCCCTGTTTCAACCCTTTTCCACTTGCTCTCCATCTCTCCTCTCCCCCACCTGTTCTTCCTTTCATTCTCATTGTATTTCCTCCTTTTTGTCCATCTCTTTTTCATTTATTGTTTTTATCCATATTCCTCCCTTTTTCCTCCTTCTGTCCCACTTCTGCTCCTCCTCCCTATCCGATCTCCAATTTTAATCTTTCCGTTTGTCCTCTATCAAATCTTTCTTCAAGTCTTTTTTACCCCCTTTCCTCAATCCATCCACTTCGTCTCCTCTCCTTTGCCCTCTCTTCTTCCTCACTTTCTTTCCTCTTTTCTCATCTTCCTCCATCTCTTCTATATTGTGTACGGCCAATTAGTTTGGTCGGCTTTAAACAGCCGGGAGAAACTGATCTTTTTTTTTTTAACCCTCCTCTCTCTCTCTCTCTCCTCCTCTTCCTCCCTCTCTATGTCTCTCACTCTCTCCCCTGCTCCTCGTTTTTTTTCCTCTCTTTCTGATTGTAATGCGATGTCTTTCTTTGTATTCAGCAGTTTTCTCCTCACTCGTTAATTAAGAGTGTGGAAGGTGAGAGAGGCAGGGGAGAGAGGTGTGTGTGTGTGTGTGTGTGTGTGTGTAAGTAAACCACCGTAGGTGCAAAATGCTTTTATGGCAGGAGGGATGAGTGTGTGTTTGTCAATGTGTGTGTGTGAGCAAGGCGGCAAAGGGGTCCTACTGGGCCAATCAACATTAATGAAATCAGGTGGGTCTGTGTGTGTGTGTGTTTGTCGGAGTGCTTGGCTTGCAGAAGAGAGGGGATCTAAAAGGGGTCTAAAGAGGAGAGAGAGCTAATTAGAGTTCCCTGTCTCACCAGAGTGTGGATCAAACACACACACACATACACACACACACACTAAAACGCACAACTACAGGTACAGAGTACACACAGCGAGTGTGTGTGCGCCTGTAGATATTCATTTATACACACGCAGAGTTTCAAGTGAAGGTTTTCAATGTCAGGGAGGACTGAGCACAGCTGGTGGAAAGAGGACGACACATGCATACTAACACACACACGTCAGTACTGTACTTGTGAGGTCCCTCATTGGCATAATGCATTCTTAAGTCCATAACTCGAACCTGAAGCTAATTCTCGGTCTTAACCCTCAAACAATCTTTTCAGGAAGTGAGGACCAGACATGTCCTCACGTACAGAAATGATAAAGCTTTCCAAACGCCGTAAAAGTCTACTCAGTTTCTGGAAAATGTCTTCATTTTCTAACAGTGCTCACCTGCAAAAAGTGTCCTTATTTCCCAAAAACACCATTGTTTTCCAGAATTTCTGCACTGTCCAAAAACATTTCATTTTCCCAAAAAAGTCCTCACTTTCTTAAAATGTCACCGTTTTCCAACAATGTTCTCATTTGTCCCGACTTTCCTAAAATACTGATGGAAATGCTTTCCACAATCTCCACATTTTCTAAAATGTCACCTTCCAAAAATGTCCTTACTTTCCAAAAATAACTCACCATTTTTATATATATATATATATCTATATAAAAAAAGAGAAAACGCCCTCACCCTCAAGGTCTACAATTCAAATCAGCACAAACAACACAACATTAAACTAACATGTGGTCATGTTGACACACAAATATCCACACTGATACAAACGGACATAAGCTCAGTGAAATATTTCCAAACACACACTCACATGTGTGTCTGATAAGGTGCAGATGAAAGGGAGGCCACAGTGTGTCTGTGTCTGCTTAATGTCTCCACTAATCTAGCCTGGGCCCCAACACACACATGTGCCTACCACGTGTGTCTGTCTGTGTGTGTGTGTGTGTCTAAAAACTTGTAAGTCTGCCTTTGAACATGCCTGTGTACAGTGTCATATCTGTTAATATATGTGTGTGTATCTGACTGTGTGCCTCTGTGTGTTTTTATGATATTTTTTTATTGTGTGTGTGTGTGTTCAGGTACCTTGTACAGCGCCGTTGTCTTGCTGGTTTCCATTAAGTTCAGGTTTATCCTCGGCTACAGCAGCGTCTGGTATGAAACACAAAGACAAGACAGAGTCTCAGTGGGTCGGCCAATAAAAAACAAACAGCACCTTGTAACTGTGTGCGGGTCAAAAAAACAAACTGGATTTACAAAGAAACACAGAGCCACAAACATTCGTCGGGAGAATTATATTTTCTATGTTTTTGTGTTTTTTTTTCTCTTGATGTTAATTGTCAAAGCACTAAAAAAATGTTTTGATATTAGAACAAAAAACATTTGGCAGTTTCCTCACAACAAATTCATTAGTGTTGTTTTGGAAAACACAAGGTCTGTTATTATTCTTACAATTCCTATTAGTTACCATTAGGAATTGATAGGATTTATTAAACTGATACTGCACCTAAAATACCATCCAAAGGTCCAGTGTGTAACATTTAGGAGGCTCTATTGGCAGAAATGCAATATCACATTCAGATGTTACCTCGGAATGAGCTGTTTTTAATCCACAGAAGGAGTGGGTCCACCATGTGTCTACAGTAGCCCAGAACGGACAAATCAAACACTGACTCTTGAGAGGGCCTTTTGACCACCATACTGTCTCTTCAGTTAGTTGCAGTTCTGCAACTTTACCACTAGAGGCCACTAAATTCTACACACTGTACCGATCTAAAATGTTGCCTACAAAATGTCAGAAAACAACAAATAAAATGCCCCAAACAATTTCCCAGAGCCCAAAGTGACGCCTTCAATTTGCTTGTTTTGTCCAAAACTCAAACATATTCAATGAACTACCATATAAGACAAAGAAAGCAAATATTTGGCTACATTTGCTTGATGAATGAGTTAAACAATTCATCGTCGTCCTTGAGTAAATACATATTGTGGCCACTTTTTGAGGAACACACAGCTAAACACTACCAAATATGGAAGCACATGTCCAATAATGTGCAGTGTTAGACAACTGTGCTGATTATTTTAGTATTTGTTTGCAGTGAAGTGCACATTTACTGCAGCCTGTTTTAAGAGCTTCAGTCAACAACAGCTCAAATACAAGAAGTGACAGTCAAAGTGAACACAAGGCTGGAAAATCAGGCCAGGAAAGTACGAATGAAAACAGATAAAAACTAACAAGAAGCACAGATTAGCACAAATGTAACAAAGAATCCAAGCTGGAATAATAAAAACAAGTAAGTAAGATACAAGTCAAAAGGGCAAAAGGACGGAGAGGCAGACAAAAAACCAACCAACAAACATCCCGGCGTACCGTTCTTGGTGTTGTTGTTGGCGGCGTGCAGCGGCTCAGGAGAAGGGGAGGACGAGGACGAGTGTTTCAGAGCGTCCTCCACTCTCTCCCTCCTCTTCGACTCAAACTCCAGCGCCTCCTGCAGCTTCCTCTTGGCCTTCTTCTCCTTCTTCAGACGCTTCTGGATGGAGGCTGAGGGAGGAAGAGGAGATGAATCCTTCGATATGACGTTCAGTGACCCAGTTTAGTGTTAACATGCCTCAAGTACTTCTAGGTAAGTTCCTACATTTCCCACAGTGCCTTTCAACAACATGTTGTCTCGCATAAGAACGTAACGATATATCGCAATACAAGTGAAGATTTAAACTGGTGAGAAAAGAATTAACCATGATACTCGCGATCTATTTTGTCGGTATCAAGGTTGTTTGTACCAATGTTTTCTTAAATCTCGTGAACAAGATTTATAGGCCTAACCCTAACCTGATTCTGATCTCTTTAGAAGTACAGTACTTTATTATATGGTTTGTCACACATTTGACCTTTTATCAGAAAATAAAATCCTATCTTATACGAGTTGCATATTACGATTTCAATAATATTTTGATTCATTGTGTCGCCCTAGAAGGCACCATTCTGTTAAAAATTGGTGGTGTGGCAGCTGTTTGGCTTCCTAAAATATGCACTGTTTTGCAGTTCATACACTACCTCAACAATAAACAAGGCTATTTTTATTTGGTAGAAATATATAATAAAAAAATATAGAAGAAAAAAAAAATCTGAGAAATAAAGGAATCTTTTTTCTGTTATAATTTGTCTTCAGTCTCATTTTGTTTAAAGAATAATTGGGATAAAATTGTGAGAACAGCATTGTTAATTGCATCGAATCGTGAGTTGAGTGCATCGTTAAATCCCCAGTCCCTCATTTAGAGCACAATTACAGAAGTTCCAACCTTTTCTATTGGCTGTAAAACAATGGATTTGTCCCTGTATCATCTATCAAAAAGTATGCAAAATGCCTGGTTTATATGTCAGTCAGACCTCTGCTCTGTAGTTCGGAGGTGAGCTGTCGTTCCAGACTCTCTCTCATCTCTCTTTCTCGGTAGAGTTCCATCTTCAGCTCTCTTTTCTCCGCCTGGATCTGTTTGTCCTGCACCCGGGCGTTCTCCACCGCCACCTTCAACAGGCCCTGACAGAACAAGTTTGGTTATAAGTCGAGTTACAGAAAAACAACCTTTAAAAGACATCCGTTCCAGTATGCAAATGTTGATAAGATTAAAGCTGCTACTACCATTGTTTTCTTTTGATGACATCTGTTTAAAAGTCTCTTAAAAGAAATAAGCAACTTGATTATTTATGACATTAAATCCTACAGTTTATCTTCCAAACCTTTTCATGTTCTTATTTTCCACTTGGATGAGTCTGTAATTAACCATAATCACAATAAAAAGTCCCTCCAGGAAGTTGCGGTCGCAACAATTAACACAAATTCAACCAGTATTCTGCATGACCTCTTTGGACCAAATTTTGTTTGATCACTATGGTTTTTCAGCAAACATCCTTGTTTCTAGTTGTGAAGACGCAGACATCTGCAGTACAAATGTGTCATATTTATCTTCCAAACAGTTTGATTTTATTCTCGCTGGAACAAGTTGCCTTCGCTTTTTAAAGCAACAATCTAAAAAAATAATCTTGTGAAATCCTGAAGGGACTTCATATAGAATATCTTGTAATTTAATGTTGCTGTAATGTACTCTTCCATAATATTGATAATATTGTATTAAGCCACTGATACTCAAGTTATCAGAAACAGAAAGCAAAAACAGGCTTTTACCTGTATGTTGGTGAGCAGGGTCTCCACTGACGACAGGCCGTCGGCGAATAGGAACGGAGCAGGAAAGCCAGGGGGCAGGGCTTGTCCCAGCGAAGACTCTTCTGTGAGGAACAGTTAACAAAAGACAACTTTAAATACTCAGCCTCGTCTGGTTTTGTCTGAGGTTTTTTTTTTTTTTACTAGATTTTGGTTTACATTGTTTTATTTTCATTTTTAAATCTTGTCTGGTTTAATTTTTTCTCACTACTGATAAAATGAGGATAATATGTTATGTTAGGAATTTTTCTTGTTATCGAGATATTACAGATTATTCAGTTTTAACAAACTTTTCTATATATTTATATTTTTGTATGACATTATTATATTATTATCCCATTCTACAAATAAAAAATTCTTACTACTTCGAACCAACAACAAAGGGCAACTGAGCCGTCCATGAACTAAAAAAACCTGCCTTCAAAGTTTTAAAAAAAGAAATCAGCTGCAGGTATCGTAAAAGCATCAAAGGTTTGCTTAGCATCAAATCCCCCGTTTACAGTGCTTATGCTAAGCTACGCTGACAGCAACAGACGAGAGAGAGAGTGTGTATTAACTCTAGCAAAGGTAGCAAACAGTATGTATTATGTATTTACCAAGAGTCAAACTATTCCTTTAACATTTAACGTGCTTAAATTCCAGAAATACAAGCGTGTGTTTAACATCAGCGACGCGTTGTCACAAGCTTGGAGTAAAGTTTATGAAATGTTGATGTTTACTAAGGTATAAAAGGCAACGAAGCAGCATCAGAGAAATCAATTACACCCAACACACACACACACACACACACACACAAGTAGAGGTTGTTAGTATTCAGACAATCATGTGGGGTACTAATTGGCAAGGATTAAAGACATCCTTGATTTGTGTGTGTGTGTGTGTGTGTGTGTTCATTGCGAGTGCGTCACAGTGTCTGATCAGCCCTTAATGCCTAACACACTGACAACTGGGTTAACTCTGCTGTGAAATTAACGCTGATTAAGATGCACTCTAACTCACACACACACCATCTCTATCCCCTATCTGCCACTTCATCCATACATCCCTTTACACTCTACCTACACTCTACCTTTCCTCTCTTCCTCTCTCGTATCTGTCTTCATCACCGTTTCTCCACCTCAACACTTGTTTTTTCCCTCATCTTCCCAGCTTCCTTATATGTCTCACCTTTTATTTTTAATTTATTTTTACTTAATTTTTCCCAAATTAATTCTTCAATTTTACTGAAACTTTCCTTTCCTTCAAGACAGTTTTATTTATATTGCCCCAAAATCACAAAATTGCCTCAAAGTTGCCTCTGTTCTTTTATCTTTCCACTGTAATTTAATTTCCTCTTTTCCTTATGGTCTTTTCCTCTCTGTCTGCCATTTTATACTCTTTCACCCCAACCTCTCACCATCCCTTCCCCTCTCAGAGATACTAAATCTAATGACGAAACTGCAGAGACTGGAGAAGGTGGAGATGAGCGCTTCATTCTTATATATTTATATATATATATAAATAAAGAGGGAAAACACCACTGTTGGGAGACCAAAAAAGACTGAATGAAGTGAAAACCAAACAGCATCTTCACAAAAATAACTGAGATTTAACTTCCCCCGTACATGTCATCTAATTCTGGCTATTCAATTTTATTTTTTGGCCAAAAAAAGTGCTGGGAGGATGAGGAAACAGGAGAAGATAAGTGGGACAAAAGGTGAGCAGAGCAAAGGACAAATGGTAGAAGATGAAGAATCTGAGGAAAAACTAAAATAAAAATGAAAGAGGAGGTGAGGGAGGAAGTAAAGAGGGCTTTAAAAGGATTAAAATAGAAAGAGAAAAAGAGGAGTGGAGAGGATTACAAAAAAATGAGGGGAGGGAGGAATGGTGAGTGAAAACAGGAAGAATTAATTTTTGAGTCTGAGTAATGTTTAACTGGAGCTCAATCAAGTGCTTTTATTTTGAAAAAAGAGGGCCTTATTGACTAAAATGGAGTATTATACAGTAACTTCGATGATGTACCGGGACTTGCTGCTGCAGCCATCGGTTTGACTTTGACCTGTGGCCCTTTGCTGCTCGTCACCCCCCCCTCTTTTCCTGTCACTACAGATTAAATAAAAATGAATAAAAGCCCAAAAACATAAAAAAAAAGACTGAAACAAACAACAGTCACAAACTACAAAGACGTTTTATGTTGCCTGTGAGTTGACACTTTATGTCTAATAAATGTTATGAGTCTGTTACAGTATTAAAAAGCAACTGAGTTTTCTTGAGGGGATTCATGCCAATCACCAAAAACAAACCCTCAGTATTTGATTAACTCTGCTTCCAGTTGTCACAAATATGAATTAATCAACAATTTGACGTTAGCACAAACGGGCGATCAACACAATATTTAACACAATCTGGAGACCAAAAAGAAAACCGCACACATAAACCGAGCACGGATATGACACACAGGAAGGTCATTTTCTATCACAAACACAAGTTTATTATGTAATTCTGCTACAGTAATTGCTCCAATATACCTTCCAGATGGAGGCAGGCCACTGAGAACATTTTGTTGTCTGTTATTTTCCCCTGAGATGAGCAGTAAACTTTTAAAAGTTTTCTAGTTATGAACATGACTTAAATACTTGCATGTTTTATAATGAGCAGCGGTGAAATCCAGTATATCTGACTCACAAGCAGCAGATCTCAACCAACACAACTCCACTCGTTCCCACATTCAACAGACAGACTTACGTTTCTCAGCAACAAGGAAGTGCAGGGCTCAACGTAGACGTCTTTAATTGCCTGGTCGGGCAGCTGGGTCAAAAATCTACTTGCACAAAGCACTAACCCTAACCCTAACCCTAACCCGTCCTGAGTGAACAGTCGTGACACCGAACCATTTGAGAGGTGAGCCTCTGTCGACTTTGACTCTTCCCAGATGGCGCAGTAAGTCGGGTAACAAGTGCAAATAGCTGCAGTGTGACTGTGTTTTCTAACCATACAACTGCGGCTGAAACGAGTCACAAAAACCATCAATGACTTCCATTTAAAAATATCACTAAGCAGCTTTTTCTTCTTTGAAATGAGCTTGTGTTTAAAGTTGTCAACAATGTCCTCTATTTTTTATGAGTTGCGTCCCAGCAATATAAGTCAAAGTGAGGCAGCCACATCCCAACATGACATAAAATGTGTCTTTAAAAGTGAAAGTCAGTGACACTTAAACACTTGCACATAGAGAAGCTGAATTTCGTTCCTTTAAGATTCATGCTCCTCGGAGAAGCAGCAACGGATTTTTATTTAATTGATTTTAAAGGAAGCACCCCCTCCTCTGCTCCTGCTGATGTCTGCAGCGGAGCTTCAGGAGTATGAATGGGGCGGTGAAATGAAGGGAAGGAGGTGGAGAGAAAAGAATAAGATGAAAACAAAATGTGTTATAAGAATGGAAAATACACAGAGTGAAAAGAGAGCGTGATGGAGGGAGGAGAGGCCCCACATGCTTTTAGTGTGTGACCTCTTGACCCCTTTTAGCCATGCCTCCTTCACTTAGCCTCCCCTCCTCCCCCCCATCTATCTATCTCACCCTCCCTCATTCCTCTGATTGATGGCTCAGAGACAGGTGATCAATAGGGGGGGGCTGAACATCCTGACGCGTCTGTTTCTCTGTTTGTGTGTGTGTCTGTATAGTCGTCTGCAAGTGTGTAGTGTGTTTGCAGTCACTGTGTCTTTAGTGTGTGTGTGTATAAATACAGTAGATGAGGAAAGCCCTCCTAAGTGAGGACAATTTGTCAGTTGTCAAAACCAAATGGGTGAGGGTTTAGATTAAGGTGCGTAATGGAATATCCCACACTTACATAAGAGTGAGAGAGAGTGTCTCATGTTGTCGACCAGTAAACAGGCGATGTGTTCATGTGCATTTATGAGAATACCTTTCTGTCTGTGTGTGTTTGGAGGTATGTGTGTGTTTGGAGGTATGTGTGTGTGTGTGTGTGTGTGGTCCAACCTTTGTCCTTTGTTATTTTCTTGATGGGTGCAGCAGGGTTGGGCAGTGCAACATCTGCATCAGCTGACACCAATCCTGTTAAAAGAAAAAGCACAGAGTGAGTTTGAGAGAGTGTGTGTGTGAGTACAGTAAGTTTGTATCTGTATGTGCTAAAGACCTTAAAATGTGTGTTTATACATTTAGGTATACTGTAAAACTGTAACTTTACTAGCCCGCTATCGCTGCATGTTCAGACAAATAAAAGCAGGTTTCAATTACAAGCCTGGTCTGGATTTTATAGTTCTTTGAATGTATAAACCCTCTTAAAGCTCGCCTTAGATCGCTTACACAAATATAAATGTTTAAACGCTTGTGGATATGGATGCTACACATTGTTAGATCAGTTAGATTCTCCACAATTCAATTGTTTAGTTCATGTTACAGAAACAATGAGGACCTACAAATGATGAAATGAATGATTCGTAGTTCATATGTCATTCGACAGCCTAGGTTTTATACAAGTAACATTCATACTGGTTTAAATAAACAGTGTGATAATATTTCCCGTCTTTAATGAGCAAGAGTTGTGTACAAAAGGAATTAAAAGCCTGTCCCGTAAAGAAACCTGACCTGAGTTCAGTGATTGAAGCAAATAAAAGCTATTAACTGAAGTTTAACAGTATACTGCATGTGTATATAACTATTTATCTAAGTCTAATGAATCTAGATATATATTCATGTAAAGTAAGTTAATTGATATGTTTGTCTAGGTGAAAAATTCCAATCACAGTTTCCTAAAGTCTTCAAACTACTTTTATAGAAGACTTGAGAAGCTGTAACCATTAAATATTTGCTTGAAATTTAACTTCAACAACAGTTGTTAAAAGATTTCCTTCCTCTCAATTTATTAAATCGACTTATGGTTGCAACTCTACACTCGTATGTATTTTGTGTGGGTGTGTGTTCGTACCCAGTCTTTCAGGCGAGCTGGAGGCCGAGCTGCTGGGCTGCGACTGCAGAGGAGTGTTGGCCTCGTCAACAGATGGAGAGAGAGAGGGACTGTCGCACACTCTCTCCTGGAAATAAAGAAGTGTAATGAGTGAGGTGTGACTAAGTGTATTGATAACAATCCTCTAAGATCTGATGTGAATCATTAGAGGTCTCACTATGGTTGCTATGGGTTACCAGTTAGTGGCATTGACTGAAGAGGAGACGCTGCCATGTTGGAGATGTAGCATACAAACACATGATAATTTCCTCAACATTAGAAGAATTGAACCATCTCTAATCGTGGCGTCTGGTCAGCCACATCCTACAGTATCTATATGGAATACCAAAGCAAACTGAATAAAAGTAAGGCAAAGGCAACTGAACTCTCTGCTTGGTCTTAAAGATGCTTAAACTGATTGATTCTTCCTCCAAAGTGATGGCAGCTCCCAGTAATCGTTGCTAACCACATTAGGAAAGAAAACCCTAAATATGGAAAAGTATAGTCAAAGTTCTTTGTTGAGGAGTTCCTCAAGGAACCTACTGGGGTCCTCTATGGTTGTCATTTAAAAAAAAAAGTTTTTTTAAACCAGCGGTTCCCAACTTTTTTCCGTAAGGGACCCTTTTTCTTTTTATGGATATTTCATAATATATTCAATACATAACAACAAACAAACAACTGATAAACTGTACAATGAAACCAACTAATGAACGCAGTAACTGCAGGAAGTTTGTGTAAAACAAGTGATTAAGGTGAATTTTGTGCAGATGTCAGTAAAGAAATTCAGTTTTACTGATATTTTTAGGAACTTTATAATCAATACTCTGTTTTATGTATGTTTATTTTCAACAATCATACATACTTAATAGGCTTCCTTTTTGACAAATCCAGTGTTTCTTACTCATTGTTCTATCACCTCTTTAGTTGTTTAAAGGCTCTGTGTTTAATTTAAACTTAAGAAAATAACTATTTAATTTAGTTTTCTTTACAGAAATAAATAAAATGCTAAGATATAGACCTACTGTTTATATATTTTAAATTTTTTTTTGTAAAGTCTCTTAAAATCAAGAAGCCCTCGCCGAACCCCCTTGTAAAGGTTTGACAACCCCCAGTGGGGGTCCCGACCTCTAGGTTGGGAACTAAAGTGTGTGTTTACCTTGATAACAGGCGCGCGGTGTACGTGAGTGTGTATCTGCTGGGCTGCTGCGGCCATGTTGGCGATGGTGTTGAGGTGGTTCATCTGTGACATCGCCATGGCTACAGAGGCAGGCGGCAGCCCCATGGGCAGCAGAGGGTGGGGCATCATCATGAAGGGCAGGTCCAACCCTGAGTGAGGCAGAGAGGGAGAGGAGAGAGTGGGTGAGGAAGAACAGTAAGTGTGGCCTTTAATTAAAGTGAACTGCAATGAAATTAAGTGAGAGACGTAAAAGAGAAACCAAGAAAGTTAAATGTTTATTCATTTTTTTATTAGTATATATAATGGACAGAGCTTCTTGGAACTGTCTTAAACCTGCATTTTATGTAACGGCCAGCAGGGGACAGCTCCATTGGCTGCAATAAAAGACAGATACCATTCAGTCTAATGAAAAAATGAGTTGACTTCTCAGTTGATTTCTGAGCTAAGTAAACAGTTTCCTGATGAGTTTATGGTCTCAATCTCTAGTCAAGTCTTCTTCCATACAGCATGATGTTTTAGTAAATTATGGCCCCATTTAGAGTAAAATAGACCATGAAACAGTGTATGCTCGCGGCCAATAAAAGCAGCTCAACTCGCAGTACGTCACCTCTGCAACTGTGCTGAACATGAGGCTTCAGAACGGTTCTCTACAAACCAACGGGTGCCGTCACGATAGCTTCACATTTGGTCTTAATCCAAGTATACCCACCAACACAATTCTTCTAAAGATTAAAACATTCAGTGACTCTTGCTCTGTTACATAATCAGCGTAGGTTCATTTTGGTGAAGAATTAAATGCCATTCCCACGTTTTGCTTCATGGCAATCATCCAGGTATAAAAAGTCTAAGCAGTTAAACACAGATTGTGCCATAACCCCACCTGTCCCCAATAATTAATTAATTAATATGATGGAGATTGCAATTTAAATATAGAGTAAACACTTTAAAATCACAAACTAATTATGAAGAGCTGTAAATTGCACCCACTGTGGAACCTATAAAATCATAAATTGATTTAAATTCTTCACCAAAATCAATGTTGCTGAAAGACAATCATATGTTAAACCAATCTTCTACCCTGAATCAGGGTTAAAAACATTGTAAAAATTAGATTAAAGGTTTTCTTTTACAGTGTTAATATGTTTTGTTTTTCAGTGTTTGTTCTTCATTGTTTTTTAGTAAAATGGGTTGTATGGACAACAAACTGCAGCACACGACAAACCATCAGTCATCTTGATTGCCAGACTGTCAACACTATTTAATATGATTTATTTTTTTATTGTTTGTTTTCAATACATGTACCAGAGACTCCCTGGGAAGAAGCATTGATACCGACTGTTGTTTTCTAGTGAAATACAAGTGAAATGAGCCATTGATCTTCCTTCCAGATCAGCCACGTTTGACTTTACTGCAGGTAACGTCACATCCAATCCTTCCTTCTTTTTTTGTGTTTTTTAAATGTGTTTTTATCTCTTTTTTTTTAACATTTGCCTTTTGGATAAACTGTGAAATGAAGCCTTTGAGAGACTGACAGAGAGAAAGAGGGAGAGAGAGAGAGGGACGGAGCGGTATTGTGTCTGTGAACTTGTGTTGAACTTAACCTTGAGGAAAGAGAGAGGGAGAGGTGTCATCTGAGTGTCAAATGTCTCGCTAATAAAAGTTGACAAAGCAGAGGAGGAGGGAGAGAAAGAAAGCAAGAGGAGAAAATATGGAGGTCAAAGGGTTAAAGGGTGATGAGGCGAAAGAAAAGGGAGGTCATTCTTTCATTTTTTTCCCCTGTCTGTCTTTTTATTTAGATCTTTTATCTGTTTCTGTTTATCCTCTTTTTTTACTCCTCATTTCTTTTGTTTTTTAATTTTACTGTACACTGCTGTTCTTCGTGGATTCATAGAACCAATTCTCAGTATTAAT